AAATAAAATGAGATAATATTGAGAAAAACAAATATATGAAAGGTAACCCTGAAAAACAAATATGGAAAGTTGTAGTAATAATATTTATAGAATGTTAACAAAAGAGAATATAATTGTTTACAATATTTTAAATTGCTCATTAAATCGAACAATTATGAAAATAAGTTATAATTTTTTTATTAAAAATGTAAACCAATTAAGGAAAATTATGATAATTGCAAAAGTTGCATATTATTTTTAAAAACTCCGAGAAGATTACAAAATAAAATGTACAAAAACATAAGAAATAAAGAAAGCCTATAAGAATGAAAAATAAATGAGTTTCTTAAGATGCCACAAAATTTTGAATATAACTTAAATCAATCACAATGATTGTATACAACTTACCGATTATAATTAATTATATTCAAACTAATTGTAAAAAATAAAATAAATAAAACAAATATGGTAGCCATACTGCATACTATATAATTATGAAGATATTCAAATTGTAAAAATATATGACTTTCATTACAAAAATGGCCTTAAGATTTTAGAATATAATTTCTGAAATATACTAAATAATATATATTAAAATTCATAATTTTTCTCTATAAATAATATTCAATGTGAACATAGTTGCAATTGTGACATTAACATTTGGGTGAAAGAGAAGAGCAAAATATAGCATTAAACTTTTGTTGGTTAAGTTGAAAAATTGAAGTGGAAGATGGAAGGACAGATCATCAGAGTTCTTTGTTTTACTGTCTTTCTTTTCCTTATTATTCCCAAAGGTACCTTTATTTCCTTCATAGAATCTATCAAATTTCTATGTATTATATTCCAAGGATTGTAATAACTAATCAACTTACATTACGTTATATATAATTTTAATGAATTTTATTGATAATAACTCACACTTATTAAATTTAATTTTTCCTTAATTTCATTAATAGTCAAAAAATAATAATTATTTTGTCTTTTTTTCCCCCTAAATATTAGTTAAAAATATAGGGTGCTGCCAGTTTATGAGATGCTACACTTGGTGTAACGCATCGGGTGGTTATGAATCATAGATCTATAAAATAACCATCCACTAAGCACACATACACATGGGTGTGTGCGTTTTATTATGTGTAGATCAATGGTTCAAGATCACACGATGTATTTCAACGGGTGTAGCATCTACAAAACCAGACGCAGCCACAGAGACCTTGTGATTTTTATGTTCATGCATTCTCTCAAATTCTAGACCTTAGAACTACATTAATTTGTTGTTATTGTTATTATTCTTATTTTTCTTCTCAATTACTGTGTTGTTAATTATGCATATATTTTGTTTGTTCGAAGGTTTAAGCCAAGATCCGTCATGCACTTCGGACAAGATTCATATCGAACAGAGGCAGACAGGAAACATAGTACAGTCCAAACCAGAGTGGGAGGTGAGCATCATCAACACTTGCAACTGCGACATTATTCAGTTGCAGTTATTGTGTCCTAACTTTGGGTCAGTAATAAGTACCGATCAAACCCTCCTCTCCGAAATTGGTAACACCGGTCACTGCCTCTTTTACGGCGGAAGACAATTGATTAGAACAGATAACTACGTTATCAACTACGTTGGCGATTACATTAGTCTTGCACCCTATTCATATTCAATGACAACAGCTTGCTCCTCCTAAGCCGTAGTAATTCCGGTTATTAAAAAAAAAATCAGAATTCAACGATACTATTATATGTAATCCATGCTTCAGAAGAAATAAAAATATAATATTCTTTCTATTTTCAATCAACCGTCGCTTTGCTTTGCAAAGTTTTTTTATCAATATTATCTATCATTTTTTGGTCGCTTTGCTTTGCAAAGTTTTTTATCAATATTATCTATCATTTTTTGGTTTTAGTGATGCATTTTTTTTTCCGTCCTTCATATATTTCCATGAATGGTACCTATTTTATGTATTCCACAAAACTAATATTTACTTATTTATTTCGTGTTTTAGTAGTGTCTCAAAAATTTCTTTCCATGAATGGTACCTATTGTATGTATTCCATAAACTAATATCTTTTTATTTATTTCGTGTTTTAGTAGTGTCTCAATAATTTAAAACGACTATTTTGAACAGAACAATTAATTATGAAGGACTATTAAAAATAAGTCCATTATGGGCTACTTATTCATAAAGAGGACAATATCAAAAATTTATCTATAAAAGAGTCTAGACAAACTCCCGAGGTGTGTAAAGACTAAAATACCCCATCTTGTTTTAAAATGCTTCAATTTCATTCCTTTAACCCAATTTAACCACAATTTGACCATTAATTTCACCAATTATTCAATTTTGACCATTGTAAGTCTGTCTTTGTTGACCGTCGAACTCCGGTGTTGACTGTTGTTGACTTTTTTTCTTTCTAATGTTTTGTAGCCGCTGCTGACCGGCGGTCAACGCCGGTCTCCGACGGTGTTGACTTTTTCGTTTTTTTATTTTTTTCCTCAATAATTTTTGCCCCCGTAAGAAACAGTAATATTATTGTGGTTGACAACATATTAACTGTATTAATACTATTTAACACAGTCTTATTGTAATATTACTATGTACCATAGTAATATTAAAACAACAAAATCACAGTAATATTGTTGTGGTAGACAGGAATATTACTGTAAGGACAGTAATATTATTGTGTTTACAATAATATTACGACCACAGTAAAACACAATAGTAGACAATAATATTATTACGTTGACCGGTCAACAAATCAAACAAAAATAAAAAGGCCGAAAGATAAATAAATAAAATTGATGTGCTTGACAGTAATATTATTGTGTTTAAAGTAATTTTACTGTCAACCGCAGTAATATTACAATATAATAATATTATAACGTTGACCGGACAACCAATCAAACGAAACAAAAAATCCATAACCAAATATGAAAGTGGCTGACAGTGATATTACTATCGTTGACGGTAATATTATTGTAACAACAGTAATATTATTGTGTTTACAGTAATTTTACCGTCAACCTCATTAATATTACGATAGTAGACAATAATACTATTACTTTAACCTATCAACAGTCAAAAAAAATGAAAAAGTCAACTAATAAATAAATAAAATTGATGTGGTTGACAGTATATTACTGTGTTTATAGTAATTTTACTGTCAATCACAGTAATATTACAATAGTAGTATTATGTTGATCGGTCAACAAATTAAACAAAATAAAAAGCCAAAGAAAATAATATTAACGTGGTTGACAGTAATATTATTGTGTTTACCGTAATTTTACTGCCAACAACAGTAATATTACTGCCACCGGTTAGCGGCGGACGACAGTAATATTTCTGGAAAAAAAAGTTTGAAAAAGAAAAGGTCAATTTTTTAAATTGTTTTTGTCAAAATTGATGAAATTGAAGTTAAATTGATGTAACAATTAGAAATTATGTTTAAAGAGTTGGGGGCAATATTGTCATATACATTAAGTTTACCTTTATTTATAAAACATACTAAAGTGATTGGTTTATTGACAAAAGAGATATAACATCTAAACTTAAAATAGTTAAGATGGTTGGTCGGAAACCTCCTAAAAAAAACCCTAATTATTATTTGGCCGTAAGTAGTAAACTGTAGGGATACACGTCAGGTAAGGGTAACGTAGTATGTAATATGATAGTTTTTGTCCGATCACCTACAATATCAAATTGTTAGTTGTTATTCGTAAAAGCAGTACTCAAGACTTTAAGTCAATCAAGAGAACAATGTGTACGAAAGTATGATAACAATTTTAAGGGGAAATTAGCTAGACACCTCTTATTCTGAACTTATATAGGTGGAGATCCTAGTTGTTAGATGAATATAGGCATAAGTCCTTTGACCCAAAAAAATAATATATATAAAATAAAACAATTAATATATGGACATAAACACCCTCAATTAATAAGAAAACAAATCTCATATATTACTCCATGTCTCTCCTATCGCACGTCTCTTTCTTCCTATTACTCTCTCGTCTTTCTACCTCTCTCTCTCTATCTCGTGTCTCTCTCTTTTTTTTTCTGATATTCTTTTTCTTTTCAATCAACATCTCTTCGATTTTTTTTCGATCAACTTCTTTCTTTCTCTATACCCCTTCCTTGATCACATATGTTCGATTTCTTTTCTTTCCATTGGAATGTTTTTTTTTTGAGATCGTGTTATAGAGAAGAAAAAAAAATGCGAGCTTTACATTATTAGATAATTTTTCGGTGAAAGAATTAAAAGCGGACAACAAACATAATCGCTCCTTAAAAGTGATTTTTTTGCTTTACTCGTTTCGTATTTATCTGTAGTGAGTTTATAATTATGTTTTTATTTTATAATCTATTTTTGTTTAACAAATAGCAAAAAAAAAAAAAAAAAAAAAAGAAAAAACTGAAACGGCAAAATCAAATAGCAGCATTGAACAAACACAAACTACAAATTGCAGTCTATAACAGTAGATTTTTTTGCAAATTGCAAATTTTGTATTGACAAAGTATTTTTTATAATTTTATTGTTACAGTTGGCATATTTTTGTATGTATGATTTTTTTTTTGTATTTTTATAGTTGTTATTTGCATTTAGATATTGCATATCATATTTCATTTTGTTTTTGTACTTCGATGATGCTGATTTTTTTCTTTTTCAGTTTGCTATTTTCATTTGACATATTCACAGGCAGTTTGTTGTTTGAAATTCAATAATGCAAATTTTAATTATTAGTTTGCTATTTCCATTTCACATAGTCGTAAGCGCTCGTGCGGCGGCAGCGGTAGTGGTGCGGCAGTTGCAACGGTGGTGATTTTTTTACAACCAGATTTTGTACAATATATACTATATTTCTTATTTTAAGAATTAATTTTGTTTTAGTTAGAACTTGGAAGAGAGAAGTTTGGGAAAAATTTATTTGGTGGAGAGATTTTGATGGATTTGATTTGATTTGATTAACGGTATATCTGTTAGAATAAATATAATAATAATTATTTTTTTTAGAAAAACGCACTTTATTAGGCAATATACGCCAAATTAGATGGGAGAACAAGATCCTCCAACACGTTATTACAAGGAATTTGAGCAATATCATGGGCTAGTTTATTACCCGAACACTTTGTGAAATTAAAAGAGCAATATTGAAATTCTAGAGCCATTTGTCGGCAATCTTCCACAACAGCCCCGAAGTCAGCAGCCTCATTCTCTCCATCGCGAAGACAATTCCCCTCGATGACAATATCATGCCAGCCTCTATCTTTGGCCGTGGAAATGGCTTTGAGTGCCGCCAAAGCTTCCCCCTCCACCGGCTGAAAATTGCCATGAATCTTGACAACCTTCCAGCCAATGCATTGACCATCCTCGTTCCTAGCTATGGCTGAGACTGAGATCCATTGTTGCCCTAGCGGTAGGGCTGCGTCAAAATTCACCTTGACACTACCTTGTGACGGCGGAATCCACTCGCTTGGTTGAAAGGTCTGCATCCTTGAATTCGGCTGGAGCTGGGCACTCTTAAAAGTGGCAAGATAAACCTTACACCAGCTCACCATTTCATCCACATGGAGAGCTTCTTCTCTTTCGATTTCCTTATTCTGTCGATCCTACGCTTTCCACGCCAAAACCACTGCAACAAGAAACTCGTCTGCCCTTAATAACTTTTGAACGTCAGCAAACCAATTCCACATGGACAAAGTGTCAACATGGTGCAAAGCATCAAAAATGGGTAAGTTCCAAATAGCTTCCATTCCTCGGCATCGCAACATAACATGCAGGGCAAATTCTTCTTCTCTATTGCACCGATCGCACCATGGTGAGGCAACGATCTTCCGTCTAAATAATTCGACTTTAGTTGGCAAAATACCCCGACACAGGCGCCAAATAAACAACCGGATTTTTTGGAGGAATAAGGAGACTCCATCTAACATGCCATTTTAATTAATTTATTGAAATATGGAGATTTTGATTTTGATCTATTAACATAAATTATAATATAGAGGGGTCTATAACAAATCGCCCCTAATTATAATAATCAACATATATTTATATGTTAGAGTTGATGTATATGTAACAAAAAGTGTAAGATCTTATACTTTTTATTGTATAAGACTTTAATTATTCTTTTGTATTTATTTTGGATTAATAAGGAAGATTTTCCCTTGTTGAAAATAGGTTGCAGATATGTTTACAGAGGGCTATATTTTGTGCATGTATAAGTCTCATAGTCCATAGCCCCAGTGAAGATCCATTGCACTTTAAATCAGAAAATCACATCTCCACAAGAAGGTTATACACGGTTAATATATGAATAAGGTTTGTGCCCTCGTTATAGTTGTTCCAACAAATACGGACTTCTTGGCCATAAAAGAAGATCAGCGCTTGAGGAGAACTGTTTAGAAGATCGGAAGGGAGTTCATCATTGACTGGAGTCAATTGAGTACGGATTTAGGAGGTGGCGAGTTTGGATAGTTTGCGACAAACGGCGTATTACATAAAGAGGGAGAAGTCACCTTATATTATTTTACACATTAAAACTAAACTAGTGAAATTTTATTTTCCCAAGTCTTCATAAATATATGGTACATTTGCAACATAGTGATTGTTTTGAACAGTAAAAAAGAAAAAAAAAAAAAAAAAAAAAAAAAGAAAAAGCATAAGATAGAAATATTTAAACTTTGTTGAGGTCACCCTCCGTTATAAAGATGCCATGGAAGCCACACGGAATTCGACACGGTAGCTTAACAGCAGCAATGATGTCAAGAGTCGCGGACTTGGCATCCATCACTACAAATTTGGACTCTCCGTTATTCTCATCGGTTACAAACGCTACTAAATAACCGTCATCCTCCTCTACCGATGGATTGTTCGGTTCCTTCGATACAAAGAACGGTTCACCACCACAACAGCCCGGTCCATATAGGCGGCTTGCCACCACGCAGTCGCCATGGCCATCTTTCTGAGTTAGTGATAGGTCTAGTTTCACTATCCCGTCTACGCTCTTCGGCCCTATCATTGCTGCATATACATACCTGGATACATACATATCAACAAAAATATAGATACTATATTTTTTTTTCAAACACTCTAAAAAACTTTAAATATAAGTTGTCATAAATATGTATATGAGCTTATTGCATTTACCACCCCTGTGAAAATTGCAACAGCACGTTTTCCTTATGTCATCAAAAAATTTAATAAAAACCCCCCATGTATTTATTTTTAGTAGCATACTCGACTCAGTTAACTTTTCTCCATTGACCGGTTGTAAATGGACCGAAGTACCGTGTTTCTGCGAAAAAAATTAGGGGGCCAAATTGAAGTTTTGAAAAACTTAATAAAATAAGTCAGGGGATTGAATTGTAATTTTCTTAAAAAAAACATATTATGTATTTCATTATTTCATACTTTTGTAAGTACCAAATATTTCTTTATAATTATTTATAATTTAATAAATTTAAAACAGAGAAAATGAAAAAAATAGTATAAAAATTATTAAAAAAAACAGAAAAAATAAAAAGAAAAGATGTTAGGGGCAATTATGTCATTTCACACAACAAAAATGAAGAAAAATCGCAGAACCTGCGTCGCGAGTGAGACACACGAACACACCTGTTTTTCCTAGCAGCATATGCTGGATTGATAACTCCAAAATCAAGAAATTTAGTGGACAAGGGCTGCCTATGCACCGTGTGGGCGTTGACATCAATGGTGATCTTCTCCAATCTCAGTTGCGCCAAACCAATGCTCTCAAACAACTCCTCAACTCGTAAAGCATTCGAAACCACCGCCACGATGGTGCCGCCGCCGCCGCCGTCTTCTTCCCATGCATTCACACTGTGGAACATGTTCAACCCCGGCACCTCCGTCCACCACATTCCGCTGTCGTCCTCCGCATATTTTCCGATCACCCCTACCCGAGGCACCTTTGCCCGATCTACCCCCACCGGCGGTCTCAAAACCGACAAAGGGTTCACCACGATCTGCGTGTCTACGAATACGCAGAAATTCTCCGTCACGGAAAAGTCGTGAATAATCGTGCACCCCTTCAAGGAGTGTACATGCACGTCCTTTTGCTTTCTCCCCTCGGGGTCGATTCTGAAAATCGTCAAGAACGGACGGGTGATGTTGTACCGGTAAGCGAATGTTTCTCCGGTTTTTACGTCGACCTTCGGATGTGCTGTCATATTGAAGAATAATAATGGCCGGTTGTTGTTGTTGTTGTTGTTGCTGTTGTTGTGAAAATCATGGCGGCCGAGGGTTACTATATCTCCATTTTCCGTCACTTTTATTTCGTATGGTAGATCGCACTCGGACAGGGCAAAGAGGTTGGCGGCGCCGCCACCGCCGCCAGGCAATAGAGCAACGCTGGTTTGGCGGCTCCGAAGCCATTGTTCAGCGGATCGAACTGTCCCGTCAGCACACGTGCGGCGGTGAGCATGCATCTCGATACGGAAGATGCGAAGCCGTTGAAGGAGGAGAAAGGACTAGGAACAAAAGGGGACCCCGTTTTCACGCTCAACCGTGTGCTTGTGTGTCTTGACGTAGCGGCTGCAGAACGTGGTGGCTTTGCCGCCTGATATTTCGATCATGTGGAGCATTCCGTCGCCGTCGAATAAGTGATAAGGTCGGCGGCGGCCCTCTGTGACGACGAACTGAGGATTGGGGCCGTTGCGGATGTAGGCCCCGTCCAGGCAGCTGGGAAGGAGGCCGCCGCCCACCTCCACCGCAACCTCAGTACATGCGGTGGGGGGAAGCTCTTCCACCGGAGCAAAGTATCCCGACATACTGTGTTCGGGATCGATGCTCGGGCGGAGGGGCGATGGGTCGAGAAATGTGGATATGAAGTCATCCAATTTGTTGAGTATGGTTGAATATTCCAAGTGTTTCTTGAACATGTTGGCTTTGATCATAGGTTGAGGCCTTCTTTTCACATTGGCCCTAATATTTAACGATGGAACTTGCAATAATTGAGGATGTCTGAAAGAGGAAAAAGAAAGGGCTTCCATCTTATTTATGAGTTTGTTTGAGAAATTCAGAGATGATTATTGTCTTATACTGTTTTTTTCTTTTTTCCTACTATGATTTTCATATTAATAAAAAAAAAAAAAAAAGCGGTTTGAATATTAAAAATTGACAACGCTGATCAACACATCCAAGTCAGCCACATGCCCCCAATCAATTTGTTACCGACACGGCTCGCTTTTAGCACGTATGCACATGGATGTGTGAGTAAATAATCAGGTGTAGCATATAATTATTCGTTTGTGTATCAGTATGATTATTATTTTTCTTGTTGGAGTATGATTTTCGTTATTTAAATACACTTCATTTACATCCAATTCGTAATTTGAAACCCTATTTTTACCTCAATTTCATCGGTTAACCAGCGGTTGGCCATCATTGATTTTTTTTTCCTCTTTTTAAAGCTGTGTTAATTTTTATGTGTTAATTTTTATTTTCGCCTCGTTATTGATATTACGTTAGTGATATTATCCATGGAGAAAATTCGTTATTTTAGTTATCAAATAAATCGGTGATATTTATTATATTATTGACAAAAATAATTTATTTGGTGAATGTTGAATAAAATTGATTGGACTTTTTCTTTTCCAATATCTTATATTGTATTTATATAACAATTATGATAATAAAAAGAAATTGTTATATATGTTTTCATAACTTATTATTTATTTTTATTTTTAAAAGAGGTCATCGTTATAATAAACTAGTGGCCACTTGTGCCTTTTCTCACATTATACGAAAATATATTACAATGTACATTATTTAGAGGGTAAATTCCACTTTCCACTTTGTACTTTGGCTCAATATCATTGATTTTTTCCCCCTCTTTCTAGCTTCACGATCGTTTGAAGCTGTTGCGTGCAGTTAATTTTTATTTTCGCCTCGTTATTGATATTATGTTAGTGATATTATCCATGGAGAAAAGTCGTTATTTTAGTTATCAAATAAATCGGTGATATTTATTATTTTTGGGATGTGATAAATATCGTTCGAGCTTTAATAATACCGTTTCGACTTCAAACGTGATTTTGATCATTTTTTATTCCAAATTTTGCAAATCCCGAAAAATAGAATTTGTAGTATTCTGAGTTAGTTTTCTAATTCAACTTGAATCACCAAAATTTGATGTCGGACAAGAAAGATATACATGAATCAATGGATAATGCCCACAACTTTGATGTATTGAGGTATCTAAAATTCAAAATGTGACTCATTCATGCATAACTTTGTCACACGGCATCCAATCTAGCGGATTTAAGTTGGATTAGAAAGTTAACCCAAAGGACTACAGTTTTCTTGTTGCGAATTTTGTCAAAATCAAAATAGAAATATATCAAAATCAGGTTCAAAGTTAAAACGGTATTATTAAAATTGAAACGACGTTTGACATTTCAGATTCTTTTATTGTTTAAATAATTTATTTGGGGAAAGTTGAATAAAACTGATTGGACTTTTTCTTTTCCAATATCTTATATTGTATTTATATAACAATTATGATAATAAAAAAAATATAATTGTTATATATGTTTTC